AAAGCTAAGGCATGTTTGGAAAAAGCACAATGGTCAGAACCTATAGCAGATTTGACCCCTGAAAGCCTGACAACCAGCCCACAAAATCCACAAAAATCCAAAAGACAGGCTCAAAGATGCATAGAAACGAGGAACCACTCTGTTAAATATCATTCCTTCAGTGTTCCAAAGGGTTGTAGATTGGAATAAAATCCAACAATGCCACTACAGCCCAAATGAATCAGTTTTAGATTATTTTGATAAAACTTTAAGATGATATTGCAGGATGTCAAAGCTGATTGCTTTGAAAACAATAAAAATGATACATTATTAAATGCAAATTTCTTTTTTTTTTTTTTTTTTTTTTTTGAGATGGAGTTCGCTCTTGTTACCCAGGCTAGAGTGCAATGGCGAGATCTCGGCTCACCGCAACCTCCACCTCCTGGGTTCAGGCAATTCTCCTGCCTCAGCCTCCTGAGTAGCTGGGATTACAGGCATGCGCCACCATGCCCAGCTAATTTTTTGTATTTTTAGAAGAGACGGGGTTTCACCATGTTGACCAGGTTGGTCTTGATCTCTCGACCTCGTGATCCACCCGCCTTGGCCTCCCAAAGTGCTGGGATTACAGGCTTGAGCCACCGCCCCTGGCCTAAATGCAAATTTCTTAAACAGACTAGATGATAATTTAGCCACCCTAGTAAAACGCCACGTGACAAATTAGGCCACAGCCAGAACAAACAAACTAGTTAACTTAGCTGACCAATTATCCCACAACATGATAAAAAAGGAAAAGCTGAAGATTGCCTGAGTTATGCATTTACAGCTAAAGCAATTAATGTCTCAAACCTCTCAGCCCCAGAAAGATTTTAAGCTCCCTTGGTCTGAGAATTCCTCTCCCCCAGCCTGTTACTACAGTAAGAGACAGGGACACCTTAAGAGGAACTGCCTTAGGGTAAAAAGAAAGAAAAGGCAGGAGAATGCAACTTGGGAAGACTAGGGATGCTCCAAGAAAGAACAGAGATTTTACCCTTCAAATATCCTACCCTGACAAAGGAACTGGGAGAGAATAATATAATAACAAACCATGAGGTTGCAACTGCCTTAATTGACACAGGCACAACTATATTTCTGATAAATCCCACCTTATTTAAAAATCTCATTCCTTGGAGTAATAAAAGAATTAAAATGGCAGGTGTGTCTAATAAAACGACCCCATGCTTTTAAGTCCAAACCAATACCTTAGCATTTCACAGTGTTCAGCTCCCCCACCACAGACTTTAAGTGTGACCTACTTGCTAAGTAGGTCCCATATGTTTCTTATACGCCCTGGGGCCCCTGTCAATCTTTTGGGTCTTGATCTCCTCAACATCTATAATGCCCATACCTCTTTTTCATCAAAAGGTTAACTTATTTTCAAGAATTGGAGCCAGGAGACCAAAAATACCAAATTAAAAAACATCCTGACAATGTACTACAATTTAGTTCTAGTAATGTTAAAATATCATCTTGAGACCAGGAAAACGAAATGGAGACAGAGGAGAAAATACTAGGAGAGAAGAGAAAACACTGGAGCAAAGAGCAGAAAATGTTATAACTTCTTTGAGCTTCACCAATCTTCTGTTAACACCAGAAGCAGAGCACTTGCTCAAGGGTATCCCCTCCCACTTACGGTCTCAGTCTAATACAGATACATGAAAAATATTCCCAGCCACGCTAATAAAGGTAGAGATAAACCCAAAGAAACCCCTACCCAACCTTAATATCCTCTGTGACAGAAAGTCATAGATGGAATTGTCCCTATCACTCAACGTTATCTGGAAAAGAGGCTCATTATTCCCTGCACAAGCCCTGTGACAGCCCTGTATACCCTGTAAAGAAACCAAGTGGGCGAGGATGGAGATTTGTGCAGGACTTGAGGGCAATAAACAATATCATAATACTAAGGCACCCAGTAGTGCCCAACCCACATAGCCTTCTATCAGCTATGCCCACTGCCAGCCAGTATTTCTCAGTTGTGGATCTCTGCAGTGCCTTCTTTACTATTCCTACAGATCCAGAGAGCCAATATTTGTTTGCCTTTACTTTGTGGACTATAATGCCCCAAGGGTATACAGAAAGTCCCACTTACTTCTCTCAAATATTAAAAGCTGCTTTAGAGGATTTAATTTATCCCCAGGGATCAACATTCCAGTATGTAAATGACCTTGTCCTTTGTTCAGAAACACTCTCTTCCTCTCAGGAAGACAGTCTATATTTACTCAAACAGTCTATATTTACTCAAAGGACACAAAGTGTCTAAAGACAAACTTGAGCTATGCTTACCATGATTTATGAGTTATATAATTAGGAGATGTTATCTTGGTCAAAGGACTGAGTATTATCCCTGATAGAGTGAGAGCAATTTCAGCTTCCTAATGCTGGTCACTAGAAGAAAATTTAGAGGATTTCTGGGCCTGGCAGGCTATTCTTTGAAACTGGATACCAAATTTCTCTCTTACGGCTCAATCTCTGTATGCATACCTAAAAAATGAACAATCTGGTCCCATCCTGGGGACGCCAGAAGGACAATCAACTGTACAACAAATAAAGGAAATTCTGACTAATGTCCCAGCCTTACAGCACCCAAACTCAAATGGTCTTTCTTTTTGTGCACAAAATTGGAGGTACTGCATCTGGGTTACTGACCCAGAAACGTGATCATCAGAGACCTATAGGCTATTATAGCCAACAGCTGGACCCTGTGGCTCGAGGGCTGCCTCCTCCAAGAGCAACAGCAGCCAAAGCCCTTCTATATAAGTCTGTTGGAGAAACAAGTATGGGTTCCCCCATTACCATTTTCTTGCTGCAATCTCTTGGGACCCTTCTAAACTCTCATCATACTCAATATCTGTCTGTCCACCAGTTAGCCTCTTATGAAATGTTGCTTTTATCATCTCTCAATATTAATATTTCCTGCTACATCAATCTTAATCCAGCTACTCTCTTGCCAGACCCTTCCAACAAAACGCCTCGTGACTGTGTTCTGATGACTGACCAACTTCTCACCCCCAGGACAGACCTACAAGAGACACCACTGAATAATGCTGAGATGGAATGGTATGCAGATAGGTCTTATTTAAGGGGAAAGGATGGAAATTTTAGAGCAGCATATGCTGTGGTTTCTTTACTAGAGGTAACTGAAGCCAGTTCTCTCCCACAGCCAGATCAGCTCAAGATGATGGTTGCCCTAACTCGAGCTTGTCAATTGGCAAAAGACAACTCAGCTGCAAACGTTTACACTGACAGCCGCTATGCTTTTGGGGTTACTCATGACTTTGGGATGATATGAAGAGAGAAAGGATATTTAACCTCCTTAGGGCAACCCTTAAAAAATGGACAAGTATCAGAGCTGTTAGAAGCTATTCTAAAACCAAAAGGTTTGGCAATTATAAAAAATCCCAGGTCACTCAAAATTAGACAACACAGAAGGTCGGGGCAACCAACTGGCTAATGCCACAACTAAAACAGCAACATTTGAGCCACAAGTCTCAACCCGAGAAATGGCCATAAAACCTGAAACACTTAAAAACATGTTGAAAGAAACCCAGAGCAAAGCTCCCACAAAAGAGAAATCTACATGGGAACAGGCAGGGGGATACTTGTCTCCTGAAACTGAAATATGGTGTGGACCTAATAATAAACCCATTATTCCAATGCAATGTCAGGTGCCCCTTATGGAATATGTCCATAATCCCACTGGAATCCAGATAAAATAATATCCTGTTGTAAACAGTACTACTGGAAACCATCCTTCACAGTGGCACAAAAAGTTGACTCTGGATGTGTTTTTTGTGCCCAATATAACCCAGGAAAGCCCCTCCATGGGGCCCAGGGTCATTTTCCCCTTCTGGCCAGACCTTTTGAAGCATGGCAGCTTGATTTTACCCAGCTGCCATTATCTCAAGGTTAAAAGTATGTTTTGGTAATGGTCTGCATGTTTTCCCACTGGGTTGAAGCTTTTCCCTGCAGGCAAGCAACAGTCATTTGAGTTGAAAAAATCCTAATAGAAAAAAATTATCCAATTGTGGGGAGGGGAGTTCCCGGTGAACTTCATAGCGACAGGGGAACTCACTTTGCTGGCCAGTTTATTCAAAATATTTGTAAAATTTTGGTTCATATTTCAACATTTCTACTGTACCTATCATCCTCAGTTCTCAGGCCAGGATAGGACCAATGGAATAATTAAAACACAACTGGCTAAGTTCACAGAGGCATTTCACCTCCCCTGGCCCAAAGCATTCCCCCTAGTGCTACTTACACTCCAATCCACCCTTTTTGGAAAACATCAACTGTCTCCTTATGAAATTATAACAGGAAGATCCACGTGTATGGGAACAAACATAACTAATCCAACTTTTCTCAAGGGAGATATATTGCAATATTGTAAGTGGCTCATTTATCATCTTTTAAAAAGCCAAGATTTGGTAAATAATTCCTTTCACAGTGTGCTCCCTGAAGATAAGATGCCTGGTTATGATCTGCAACCCAGAGATTTTGTCTGTTGGAAAAGACATCTAGTAAAGGATTCCTTTCAACCCTGATGGAATGGCCCATACCAGGTACTATTACTAATCCATGTGCCACAAAATTAGATGGTACAGACTCATACATTCACATCTTTCATCTTAAAAAGGCACAACCTCCTGAGTGGACTATAACTCCCACCAAAGACCTTCACCTCCAGTTCACTAAACATTGACTTTCAACTAAGAGAAGCGGATGACAGCTTTTGTGGACTGTTTAAACCCAAGACGCAGGACCAGGCCTGTATACAAAGGAACGCCTATGTTTACTGTACAATAACCATTACAATTATTCTCCTAGATATACTGGCAACTGCTGTTATAAAGAACAGGGCACTTGCCTTGTCTGATTTAACACCCATTAGTAACTAAAACGAATCTCACAACCTTGCTATTATTATTACCCTATATCCCTACACCTTCTTTTCACTGCCACCCTCTGATGCCCATGAAACAAACCAGTTTCTACAATGCGCTCAGGATTATGCAGACAGATTACAGGAGGACACCTGCTGGATAGGTAGATTCATGCCTCTTTCCAGTGGCTCCATCCTGCCATGGTGGGTATCCCCCTTCCAAGGTCAGGACTAGATAGAATGTCAAAACTCTATTACATCACAGCAATGGTCTGGTATTCTTAGTGCTGGCATAACAAAAGACAACATACATAATTGGCCCATTAAAAACTCTCTTAAGAACAAGGGACATGGGAAAAACTTTTCAATGGAAAGGACCAGCTAATTAGCTCTCACTTTAGCATCCTCTCCAACTAAAACAGAAGGTGGTAACCATGCCCCAAACAATGGCCCATTATCAAAATGGAATAATGCAAATTTGGGATGGATTTATCTGGCTCACCCCTTCATTTGGCCAACTCAGCCAAAATGCTTTGTGTTGGGAGCAAAGAAATCACATCAAGAACCTATGCCCAAACAGTATGAGAGACATGGGGTGAATAGCTGGAGAACACTGTGACCACACTATCATATTATAAGACACTGAATGGCATGTCACCAATTGGGTGCAATGACCAGGTATTTATTGCCTAGCTTCAAATGCAACAGTTGGCCATGTGGCACTAACTTATGGCTGTGGTTACTTCCACACTGGTTAAGACAATGTTCCCTAGGTTATGCTTGGGCACAGGACAAGTAATTCAGACCCTGCCAAAACCAGCAAACCTTTTTCATTTACAATCTTGTTGGACACGTTTGGTATTCCAATGGTATGACCACTTAGCTTCAGTCTTTGTATCACAGATAGGTATTGAAGATGTTATACGGCATATAGAGCCTTTGATGAATTACACCCAAAAGGCCCTGAATGACAGCTGCATGAGTATGTCCTTGCTAAACAATGAGGTCCTGCTTATGAGGAAAGCTGTGCTGAAAAACTTTATGGCTTTAGATACACTCATGGGAGCACAAAGTAGGACCTGGGCCATCATAAAAACTGAATGTTGTGTTTATATTCCAGAAGAATTGAAGAATATACCCTGACTTATGAATGATATGAAAACCTAGATAACCAACCTGTCAGATCCAAAACTTTCGTTAATCAATTGGTTGACTAGTTAGTTTGGATCCTGGGGAACCTGGTGGCAGGTTATAATTGCTTATAAAAGGATTAATAGTATGTGTTGTGTCCTGTTTCTGCTTACAATGTTGTTATGGTATGTGCCTGCATATACGTCAATGCACAACTGAAAGGGCTAGGGTAATGACTGCCTAGAGAATTGTTCTAATTGAGAAGCCAGTAATATAGCCTGAGCCAGTTTCCAGATTTGATTTTCTTTTGTTGCTATAAATCTGGCCTAGGTCCCTATATTTTTTCTCTCTTTTTACCTTGCCTTTTTTACTTCTTTCTTCCTATTTTTTAAAATCTTCATGGAACATGACTTACTAGAAATGTGCCTTCCTAGCGACTTGGGACCTGAACTTCTAGGAATAAACCATCCTAGCAACAAGAAAGCACCTCAAAAAAAGAGAGGAAAAACCAACCTGAGGCCAGGAAACAGTATTCCTTTTAAAATGCTTTCTCCAAAATATTTTAAAGAAAAAAGAGGGGAAATGTGAGAGGAAATTAAATTTTGGGAACCGAAACTCATTTAGCCGAAGGGGAAAAAAGTCAAGCTGGAACTGAGTCATACAAACCTGCCTCCCACTTTTGGTTCCTAAATAAGATGGCTAGAAGATGAAAAGCTACATATTTCCCCCACATTTTGCCCGCAAGGAAATTCCTAGTGAATTTCACCGTGGCAATGCCAATTGATAGTTTATCTTTACAGGTGCAGTCATCCCTACCTACCAGACATAAATGCATATCTAATTCTTCCCCTGTCCCATTTTGTCTGTTATCTTATATAAAATGCAGATCTCCCCCATTTTTTCCTCTGCCCCTTTTATGTCACCTTATGTAAAAGATGCAGATTCACTGAGCTAGATGAAGGCATGAATATTTTCCCTACCCACCTCTTACATGAAAATTGTTACTTGCTCAATATCCTACCCTTTCCCCTTTAAATTTGGAGACCTCAGAATCATCTTCAGAGAAAGGTGTAGACCTATCTCTAGAGTCCTTAACTTTGGCAAATAAATCTCCTAAAACGATTGAGACTTGTCTAGTCATTTTTCTCAACTGACACCCACTATAAATTCAACTGGGTTGAAAAAGTTTTTTAAAAATCAAGCATCAGGTGAATGAAATCTGCCACTCAAATGAATTACTAGAAATAAATTAATTTATTTTACAAAAAAAACTGAGAACCAGTGATATTAAGCAACTTAACCAAGATACAACGTCAGTTAGTGGCAGAATGAGTTTTTGGACCAGACCATGCTATTGCTGTTAGGTTTTTTTTAAAGGCAAGGCAGGGGAGGTGGGGAGGGTTAAAGACAGATGGGGTTGGGGGGGCTCTACAGCAACACAGGTATATTGCAAAAACCTGCAGATGTGGGGGACCAGCTTAATGCCAGAGTCCACTGCTGTTCACAGGCTGGGGACTTATAGGTATGGCCTGTCTGGCTTGCTGCCCAGCAGGATGCTGATAAGATATTCCTATGATCAGGTGGTTTGGCCCTTTTTCCGGTTGGATGTGATAGGATGTTCCTTGCACCTTTACCCAGCAGGGTATGATAGGGATGTTCCTTCAGTTGGGCCTTTGCTCAGTAAGGTATAATAAAGGTGTTCTTGTGTGTTGTGATTGAGGTGGTTAGGCAGGATGTTTCTCACGGCCCAAACTCTCGTGGAATGTGTCACTTTGACCAAGGTCTGCAAAATGGCAGGGGGCTTACAAAATGGTGCAGTTTGGACTAACAATTGCCAAATGAAAGGGAATTTTATTTTGAAACTAGAGAACTGGAAGGATAACTTGGGGGGAAAGGGATTTGTGGAGAAAAGTGGGTCCAAGGGGAATCTACAAAATGTCAAAATGGGAAGATTTTGATAGCTAAGCCAGCATGAAAGTATTGGCATCCAGTACTCTTTGATAAGACAAGTGAGAAAGTGTTTAAAAAACAAGGTCCTCACCATTAAGAAAGTGAAAACAACCTAAAGGATGAAAAAAAATTTGGGCAAATCATATATATGAGACTTGTGTCTAGACTATATAAAGAACTCTTACAAAATGAAAAGTCAAATAATCCAATGGTTCAAAAATGAGCAAAGGATCTGAATAGACATTTCTCCAAAGATAACATACAAGTGGCTAATAAGCACAGAAAATGATACTCAGCATCATTACTCATTAGAAAAACACAAATTTAAACTATAACAAGGTACCATTTCAAACCCCCCTGACTGGCTAATATAAAAATGGCAGACAATAAGTATCGATGAGACTGTGGAGAAATCAGAACCCTCACACATATCTGGTGGTTATGTAAAATGATACAGCTCCTTGGGAAAACAGTCTGGCAGTTCCTCAAAAGGCTAAACATAGAGTCACCATATAACCCAGCAATTCTACTCTCAGGTATGCACCCAAAAGAAATAAAAACATATATGTCTACATAAAAATCTGTAGACAAAACATTGATAGCAGAAATACAACTAATAGCCAAAAAATGGAAAACCCAAGTGTCCATCAATGACTGGATAAATAAAATGTGATATAGCCACACAATGGAATCAGGCTATAAAAAGGAATGAAGTACTCATACATGCTACAACATCGCTGAACCTCGAAAACACCAGTGAAAGCCCATTACAAAAGGCCGCATATTATATTATCCTATCTATGTTAAATGTCCAAAATAAGCAAATTTATGGGGACAGAAAATAGATTCGGTTGCTTATGGCTGGTGGGGTAAGGATAATGGGGGGAGGGAAAGTGGTGACTGCTGAAAGGTAAAGGGTTCTTTTCGGGGTGATGAAAATGTTCTAAAATTGTAGTCAAGGTTGCACAATTCTGTAAATGGGTGAATTGTACTGAATGGGAATTATATCTCAGTAAAGCTCTTAAAAATGAAAAAGAAAAGGTTCCCTGACTGGTATTTCCCAGCAGATAATAACTAGAAGGCAGCAGCTCTTTAAGTCGGAAATTTAGGAGCAGCCAACAGGTGTTTCAAACAGTTAAACTCGTAAAATGGTAACATCCGAACTGGATGCTATGCTAAAGGTTTGGGGATTTGGCGTGAGTGGCAGTGGATACCAAATAACATGGATAGTCTTTGCCCTAACTGCAGAAATGATTTAATGAAGAAAAGAAACACCTAAAAATAGTAAAAAATGAATAAGTGAAAAATGATGGCTACATGAAAAACAACTTCTGATTCACAGGAGTAAATTCTGGTCCTGGACAGACAAGAGGTTGTGGGGACAGAGATCGAGATCAGTGGGAAAGGAGCTCTTCATGTTCAGGGGGCCACGAGTTGAACAATTCGGACAAAAGAGGTTTAGCTGGAGATAAGGAGACAGTACAGTTTTATCTAAGGGACGCAACGGGTAACCTTTATTGGGGTAACATGGCTATCCTTCAAATCAAGGGTCAAAGGGCCATTTCCCAGTTCGTACGAGTCTCTTAGAAAAAAAATGTTACAATTCAACAGGCTACCTCTTTCGAAGGAAAGTTAAAATCACACTGAATTACTCTAATGACTGAGTTCATATTACGTCTTAAAGTGCAATAACTGCACTTAAAGATTTTGTAACGAAAAACGTGGCAATGAAAGCTGCAAGAACTTCGCTCTCTGCACAGGTTTTTGTGGCAATAAAAGCTGCAAGAACAACTTGGCTTTCTGCATAGGCTTGGACATTAAGGCACCGAAGCGGTCCCAAGGTGGGCGTCGGACATCGAACGTACCTCAAATCACCAGAGGGAAGAGGAGACGCGAAGGCATCCCGGGAACTGCATTTTTGCAGGTAAACCCGGGCTGGACGCTCCCGCGGGGAGGCTAGCTATTGCCCGAGCGCGGAGGCAGAGAAGCTAAGGCGGCAGAACAACTAGCTCACCGTGGCCCCGCTCGGGCCAGCTCTCGGTTTCCATGGCTAACGTCAACTCCGGCCTCCATCCGGGGCTGAACAGCGCGCATGCGCGCTCTGGGACTGGGCCCGGCGCCCGGCTGGCCCGGCTGTGCTCGCTCTGGAGACGGGTCCTGCAGTACAGCAGGCTCGGCCTCGCGGAAGCAGGGAACCAGCGCGCTCCGTTCGCGGCAGGCCTAGGCCAACATTTCCTGGCCAGGGACTATGGGAGTCGCTCCTGCTCTGGTCTAGCACCGGGCCTAGGAGAAGCGGCAGCGGTGAAAACGGAGACAAAGCGCCAACCCTGAACTTTCCCCTGGGCCGAGTCGTTACGCAAGAGCGTCGTTGCCCTGGTGACGTGACGTCGTTCTTCAGGATTGTGCGCCTGCAGGAAACAGACGTGCAACCGCCGTTTTGCGCATCAATTCACCGAAGGTCGTGTCAGGTTGTCTTAATGCAGGTGGAGGGGTGTGACAGTGCTCCAGCCGCTCTGGGTCCCGCTACTTCCAATAATCGCACCGACCGTCACCGCTCAACACACCGACGGTAATGAATGTTTTTGAGTGATACTTCGTGCATCCTACTCGGCTTGGACGATTGGGGACTGCATATATGTGAATGCTATCGCCCCAATTTGTGGCTGCGTTTTAAAATACAAGGAACCAAATGTCCATCATAGAAACGTGTTAAGATATCAAACAAGGCAGAGATCTGGCGTTCCAATTAAAAGGCTATGGCTGATTCTTATTAGTGTGGCGGGAATCTTTACAGGCCGGCCGCATAGACCCAATTAATGCTAGTTAAAAAGTTATCGCTGTGTCCAGCGCTCGCCTCCCCTATTCTCCACGAAATTTAACCCCCCGCAACACCCAAATTCTGGACAGGTTCCAGATTACCAATTGGGAGTCCTCAAGACGGCCCCAGAGCGTTAACAATGATTGCTCAACTGATTTAGAGGCTCGCCTAAGGGAACTTTGAAGCTAATTTGTCGATACCAGGGTACCCACAATTCCCCCATGTGATTGATACCCTAGCAGTTCTGCACACTTTAGAGTCCTAACTGACTTGTGGACTACTCGTTTGGATCTCCATACCTCAAAACTATAAATGTGGCCTTTAAAAACTTTAATTCTTGGTTCTTGGCCATCCTGGGAATTATGACTTGGTATTTAAGTATTTATGTTTTCAGGTCATAACAGGAAAAAAGTTACTGTGTTAATATTAAAAGAAAGCCAAAGCTTTATTTATTTATATATTTATTTATTTTAAAGATATTCTGTCCAGATGGAAAGTGTAGTTCGTTGAAACTGTATGGAAGAAAACCCCCGGATGTACATATACTTGTCTTCAAGGACATAATTTGCAGATAGATCCTTTCACAGTTTGGTGTCTTCAGGATTTGATAGAATATGGGAAAATGTGCGGTTGGTGCATCCATGGTTTTTCTCACTGAAGCTCACTCATCGTGGGTCAGAGTACCACAGTAAGCATTTTGGAAGCTTCAGTTACTGCTAAGAAGTCTGACTTTCCGTGGTTCAGAGTAGAGGCTCCAAAGTCAGGAAATCTGGGTTGAAACCCTGACACCACTGCTCACTACTTGTGTGATCCTGAGGTTATGTAATTTCTGTCTTGCTCAGTTTCCCCGTGTCTTGTAAAATGAGGCAGCAAATAATAGAACTTAACCCACAGAGAGTTATGTCATTGTATTAAATCAAATAATTGTAATTGGCTTAGCAGATAAATGGCACAGCTTACGCTTAGTATGGATAAGCTATTATCTTTATATAGAGAGCCTGTATTTATGCTTGTTCTTCTCCTGGGCATTACCTATGACCCAACCAGAATTAACATTTTAATTGTTGAAATATCTACTGTTTTTCAAATATATTTGGACATTGCACTTTCTTAGAATAAAATTAGTAGAGCATATGGTTATCTGTGGGTAAAATATTCAATCAACATTTATTGAAATAGTGAAGGGAATAGTGGTTCCTATTTGTTAGGAACTACACTAATTGCTGCATATATAAAGTCAAATAAAACATGATCCTTAAGGAATTTACCAAAATATAACTTGGACATCAAGGACTTAACTTGAACAACAAGGACATCAGTAATTACAGTGTGTGTGATAAACAGGTATGCGCTGAGCTTCAGAAACAGAAATGGGACACATAATTCTGAGGAAATTAAGGATGGTTGCAATCCAGT